GCGCCACCGCCGCTTCAATCCGCCAAAGGAGCAGCGACGGTGGCCCCCCGGAGGCGGATCTCTGTCGCCCGCGCCGCCTCCCTCCCTCCCGCCGCGCCCTTCCCCTCCGTCGGCGAGCGAGGGACGGAGACGGATTCGACTTGTGGAGCTCGCAGCCGTCGGCGAGCGGCCCTGCCCGCGCCGGTCTCGACCTCAACTCGCAAGCGCCGGCGGCGAAGGGGTTCCCGGGGATTCGCCTGTATGAAGACTTCCTCTAGGGCGATGACGTCGAGCTCCTTCCTGGACGCGGCAGGGGCTCCGGCGTCCCTCCCTATCGCCCACCGCGTGCCGGAGCATGAGATGCGTGGGCGACTCCAGCGCCCTAGCATGCCCGATAACTGCTCTTTGGCAGCAGCCAGTCGCGGAGGAGGAAACGGTGGCGGCTACACCGGCAGGTCGTCGTCGGGGGCAGGCGGTGGTGTTCGGCAGTGCACGAACTCGGCCGTCGCAGCAGCCGGCCGGCGTCCCCAGCGCACCAACACGGCTTCTCGTGGCAGCGGTGGTCAGGGCGTACCGCTTCCCCGAGCACCGAGGGCACCGAGGAGTGGCGTCCATGGGCAAGCATCCGGCTCCGGCGCTACCTTCGACATTGACGATGAAGCAATGGAGGTTAACGTGGAGGAGTTAGCAAGCTCCGGCGGTCCCCCGGTGAACCATTCCAGTCGAGCCCAATGGAATGATGCAAATAATGCTTGCTTGTTAGAATTGTGCATAGAGCAACGTAGAGCAGGAACGTATAATGGTTCACAAATGAGTGGTGAAGGGTATCAAGCTGTTGTCGATGGCTTACTTGTCAGAAGAAGGTTGGTGTACACCCGTGGACAAGTGAAGAACCAAATAGGCGTACTCAAAAACACCCACGCTTTCTGGCGCTTCTTGCAAACGCACATAGGGTTGGGGAGGAGACCAGATGGATCCATTGATGCAGATCATGATTTATGGCTAACTCACACAGAGGTACAATATTACTTAGCATATTTTTGTGCTCTCATATGCTTGGTTACTCTATGCTTGCTTCAAATTTGATCAATGCAAGTCGTTGCACATATGTGAGTTTTCTTTTAGCAGTTCGACTTTTCTAGATAATTGGTGGGGCAAGAGCCCCCCAATCTAGATAATTCTCCAAAATGTGCACTTTCATCTTAGATGCCTGTAAATGCTTGGAAATTAATGGAAGGAGGGTGTGAGTTAGTTTACACAATCATCTTAGCAACCTATTTACAAAATGTAAAATTACAGCGACTATCTACATAGGATGCCAAATGAAGGCCACTTGTCTTGTTTGCCCTCCTGCCGCTTCATGTTCACCTACTAATAGGCTTGGTTCTGGTTCTTACATGTTTGTGTTATCAACGAATAAAATGGATTACATCTTGGTACTGATGCACTAAGGACAATAGCTGGTGATTTTTCAGATGTCACAGGTCATTCGATTAGTTCTAGTCATTTGACAGTGTGCGTATTGAAACAAAAGTTCTTATTTCCAGGTAGCCATGTCCTGTTCTTCATGGCTGCTGCTATCTATTTGCTGGTCACAAAGCTAGTTTTATACTTTTATACATCTATATATAATTATTAAAAGAATCAAAATTTGAACCAACACTGTCAATGAATAATTTGCAGTGCCAGCCACTGCCTGAACCAACACTGTTATTATTTCTGCATGTTTATTTCTTGATCGATTCAGCATATGAACTTTGGCAGCAGGCTAGGTTTCTTGAGGCTTGTCAGGAACGAAACGTCAATTGCTTCTGAGTTGAGCTGTCCGTTCTGAGCATCAACGTCACCCCCTTTTTCTAACTTTGTTTGGGTGATCGGCAGATTCAGATCAGACCAGACACTCTAGAGGCCAATCTTTAGTCATCTTTCATCTATGAGGGAGAACGACCTTGTCATGTAGTAGTAGAAAAGATCAATTCAAATGGCTCAGCGATCGGATTAGTGTTTAGATATACTCTTTAGAACTGGTCATTATTGCCACCAACTGTGGTTGGGCTGTCATAACTAGTTTCTCCTGTGGAGTCAATGTAAACAGCTGATAACTAGTTTGCTGTGCTCTCATAACTAGTTTCTCATAACTAGCTGATATTTTTCATCTTCATTGTAAACAGCTGATATTCTCCTGTCATAACTAGTTTCTAATCAACTTTTCTGCTCTCATATCTTAACAGAAAAAACCATACTTAAAGAAGCTTCTGACGAGTCCTCCAACAAACGAGGACTTGCTTGATGAACTGTTCAGAGGGTACACTATGGATGGCACCACAGCCTTTGTGCCTGGTGATGATTATGGTGACAATGAGGGGCAAGATGCAAGGACAGAAGATGATGAAGAAGAAGAGTTTGCACAAACACCTACCAGTAGAAGCAGCCAGAGGAGTCAGAGGGGCAAGAGGGCATTGAACAATAGTACAAGCACTTCGACCAGTCCAGTGAAGAGGAGCAAGAGCCCAATGGTGAAGATTGTGAAGGACATAGCTAGTACCTTCAAAGAATCTGTCGTAGCCAACACTAAGCAAATCCAGAAACGTGCAAATGACAAGGCTGCATTTTCTGTCAAGAGGTGTCAGGAGCTGGCATTTGAGTGTGGCGTTGAGAAAACCGTTGACTCTGTCTATGCTATGTCCAAGATGTTCGAAACAGAGTACCAAAGGGAGTTCTTCTGGGGCCAGTTAACTCCTGAGCTTAGGTTGGGTTACTTCAAGAAATGGTGCAGGGACAACAATTTGGAGTAGTTAGGATCTTTTCGGTCCATGTGTGTTGAACCTATCATATAGCTATGTGCGTGTGAACTATTATCTGTGTGGTGTAATGATACTTTATGCTATGTGTTGAACCTATTTAAATTAATCTATGAGCTGTGATGTCAAGTGTTGAAGTATTAATTTATTGAATTAATTTGCTTACCCTGGTTCAAGTTTTATGCTATGTGCTAATAGTTTGTTACATGTGTTGAAGCAGGAAGATGATCATGACCCCGTGATTGAGGAAGAAGAAGATGATGGAGGTAGCTCAAGTGAGGATGAAATTATATCCATGTGCCGCAACAATTTGGTGCAGCAACAAAATTTGATTCTGCAGTTGGTACCTATCTTGGGTATGTACTCTGATAACTACTTCCTGAAACTACCTAAGAGGGTAACTGGAGATTCTGGTTTGGATTGGGTGCATGAGACACTAGCCCGAGAAACCGAATGTTACAACATGTTTAGGGTTGAGAGACCTTTAGTTTACAGGTTGCATAATACTTTGGTCCAGAGGTATGGGTTGAAGTCCACTAAAAAAATGACATCTATAGAGGCTCTTGCTATGTTTTTATGGATTGTTGGTGCACCACAATTAGTTAGACAGGCTGATAATCGTTTTAGGAGGTCTCTGGAGACAGTAAGCAAGACATTTAACATAGTTTTGAGGTGCCTCCTTAGGTTAGCACATAACAACATTAAACCCAAGGACACAACATTTCCAGAAGTGCACCCAAACTTAGAAAATCCAGCATTCTGGCCACACTTCAACGAGTGCATAGGAGCTATAGATAGGACACATGTGAAGGTTGTGGTGGATAAGAGTAAGAGAGTTCCATACTTGAACAGGCACAATAAGACCAGTCAGAATGTGCTTGCTATTTGTGATTTCGACATGAGATTTACCTTTGTCTTGTCGGGATGGCCTGGTTTATCACAAATTTCCACATCCACCGCCAGGTTTGCTACTTGAACTTTCTTGCAATTTTTTTATCCAATTACACTTGTTCATCTAAGTCTCATTGTGTGCCTTTGAAAATATGTAGGGAAGTATTATGTGGTTGATGCGGAGTACCCAAACCGACCGGGCTACCTTTCACCATACAGATGTACAAGGTACCATGTGGAGCAATGGCAAAACGGCCCGCCGCCACAAGGTATGAAAGAAACCTTCCACCATGCACATGCTAAAGTTAGGAATGTCATAGAGCGAACTTTTGGAGTGTTGAAAATGAAGTTTAGGATTTTGTTGAACATGCCAAGATTTCCAGAGGAGAAGCAAACTAGAATTATTGTTGCTTGTATGGCTCTTCATAATTTTATTCGAGAGAGCAGAATTGCGGATAGAGAATTTGATGCCTGTGATGCGGATGAAAATTATAACCCAATGCCTAGTTCTTCGGCATCAGCATGGCCAGAAGATGAACCTCTTGTTGAAGATGTGAACATGAATGCCTTCCGTGATGAATTAGCTCATGCTTTTGTTTCATGGAGTGTAATTTTTTTGTTTAGCTTGATTGAGGACTTAGTAAGTTTGAGTGACACATCTCATATGTATAGACAAATTAAAATTTATTATGATTTGGATACTTGATTTATACAAATAATGTATTTGTATCATCTGTGTGCGGGAGGAGGCCACACAAGAGCCTACCACATCAAATCCGGCTGAAAGATGGTTTAAATGAGTTAAATGATTAGAAAAGTACATTTATTGTTAATCTAACCCTTACATCCAAACACTTCTTGAACTAGAGTTAATTCAGGACTAGTCTAGAGCTGAAACTAGCTCTAACCTCTAGAGTATCAAACAGGGCCATTGCTGTTGCTGGCCTCTTTTACAACATCAAACGAATTGGACTGATCTGTTATTCTACTAGTGAGAATGTGTGTTGCATGAAACTATGAATGAATAATGATGAATTATCTTAGTCTTTACTCAACCCCGTGAAATGCAATGATTTAATTAAACCTTAGATTCGGATTCTGGGAATGTAGAACGAGACACAGCACCATCGAGTTACTAGCTTCATTATTATCGAATTACTAGCTTTACTAGGTATTTCCCAGCTTCCGGTTCGTCATACATGAACTGATTTATTTATTAGCTTCACACAATTTCCCAGCTTCTGATTCGGCATACACGAGCTGAATTACAGATTGATTGTAATAGCCGCTCTACTCAGATGGAAGGAACCCAACGGGAAACCGGATCTGTCAGTTGCCGCCGGCGCAGAGGAGGGCGTCAACCTTGTCCTTGAGGTGCGCCTCGTCGTCCCCGAGGCGGGCGGCGGCGGCGCCGGCGCCATCCTCCCACCGGATCAGCGTGGGCACGCCCTTGAGCCCGAACCTGGGGTCCACCCTCCACGGGTGCGCCGGGTCGCGCCATGTGGGCTTGTCCCCGACGTAGGCGCGCAGGAGCACCGCGTCCCTGCCCTGCAGCGCCTCCAGCCGCTCGTAGATCACCGGCTCCGCCACGTTGCAGTCTGCGCCGCCGCACGGCGACGGTGAGTAGAGTAAGCACGGGACCAGGGCGACACGACGACTATTAGTTGCTGAACGGAATCTATCATTATCGGCGACGAGGATTCTTCTTACTTACCGGGGCACCAGGTGAGGGAGGAGTCAGGCTCGCGGTCGGCCAGGAAGAGCAGCAGCTTCACCTTGCCGTCGGAGGCGGCGTCCGGGGAAGCGAAGAGGCGGTCGAAGTGGGCGTCGAAGTCGGCCAGCGCCGCGTCCACCTTCTCCACCGTCATCTCGCCCTTTTCTCCCCCTTCGCCTGGCCGAGGTGCGGATTGGAGCAGCAAGAGCGATTAGCGGATTGGGAGAGAGATTGGTGGGAAGACGAGACGAGGCGGCCGCCGAATTTATTCCCCGTTGTTCACGGGAGCGCGTGCCGTGCGATTCCTTTCTGGGATTTTTCGCAGCCTGCCACTGCCAGTGGTCCCGCACCACAACCCGCGTGTCGCGTACGCGAGCCGAAATCGAGGGAGGTTTGGGCCGGCTCTGTGGACTGAAGAGGCCCAACCAAGCACTACTCTCGAGCCCAACAACCAAGTGCAGCCGAGTCCAACGGAGTCATCCATCGCCCACTCTCTTCCTTCTCCGGTTCTCCCCGATCGGCTCCGGCCTGCGGCGCTCGCGTTCGTCGTCCCTCCCTCGCCGGCCGCGTGATCCGCCTGCCGCGCGGACCCCGCGGGCGCCACGATGCACGACCCGTCGGAGATCCGCAACCTCCCCATCGACATCGCCTTTGGCCGCCTCCAGGAGTGGCTCGTCGACCGCAAGCGAGTGCCGCACGACTGGCGGAAGCGCCTCGCCGGCCTTCGCGCCCGCGTCGCCGCCGCCTTCGCCGCCCTGCCGCGGGACCTGCACCCCTCGCTCCTCTCCCTCGACCCCGAAGGTAGCAGAGTTGATCCCCACCTCTTAGCGGATCGTCAGTGTAGGAATTTCGGCGAATTCGTCATGCTCTTATAAACCCTCGTGCCGAACGCCGCCCCTTTCTTCCTTAACTTGCTTCCTTAGGTCGCGCGATTCGATTTTCTCACTCTCTCTGTCCGTGTGGAATGTAATCCTTTGCTTCTGATTCCTTGCCTTGGTTCAGAAATTGGGTACCTTGAAGCGAAGAAGATATATGGCATTCTTCTTGACTCCAACACCGAGAGTCGCAACATATTTGGCCGCCTGACGGGATCCGCGGTAGTGTTTGCTTTTCCTTCTGAGACAAATGCAATGTCGTTTGCTGGAATTGACATCCCAACTGATTGCAATTGTATTTTATAGGGTGAATGGGAGTCCATTATTAAAGCTTACGAGAAGGACCATGTCTTCCTTGGAGAGGCAGCACAGATCATGGTTCAAAATGTTAACTATGACATGTATGAAGTCTGTCTAGATATTGAATTTAACTGCTAACTAAAATTGTGTTTAGCTATGCTTGACCTTGGTTAGTTGACTTGATTTTTTTGGCTCCTTCAAGTCCATATCAGAGGAAGCAGATGCAGAAGACTCAGCAGCAGCTTGCAGAGCTTGATCGAAGGGAGGCTGACATCAAGCGTCTTGCAGCATTGTCAGCTACTAGATATGTAGAAGCTTGCCAGGAACTCGGTTTGCAGGTCAGCTTCTCTACCTTTTTCCCAACCTGCACTAATTTTCCTACTACATTGCTCACCACATCATACTGATCTGGAGTGCCACTTGGTTTAAACTTTGTCATCTGCAGGGAATTAATGTGAGGGAAGAACTAATAGAGTCTGCAAAAACACTTCCATCTACTTTTAGCAAAATCTTGGAGGTCCTGAACAGTGATGCTGTCTCAAATGCCATGGAGTACTACACAATTTTTGTTAAGGACTGCCATACTGAGGACAAGGTACAATCAGGACTATGTAGAACATATCACATACTGAATACACAATTTTTAGCTGCTAGAAACATTCTCGTGAATTTTAACCACTTTGTTCTTCTGAACTTCAGGGAAATTGTGTTTCTGTGCTACACAAGCTGAAAGAGTTGCAGGCCAACCCTCCTTCTTTGCATGTCTCGGTATATAATGAGATCAAACGTTCTCTTGGAGAGGCACCGAAATCTCATGGGTTTGTGAGCGCAGGACAAATTGACTCAAATGTTGCTGCTGATGATATTGATTGGGACATTTCTGTGGACGCTAATGAAATTGATTGGGACATTGGTGCTGTGGAACAGCCTGTTGAAGAATCTGGCAATGGTTTTGGATCATATGAAATTATTGACGCTAATATAGAGCTGGCCGGTTCTGAAAATTATAATGTTAGTGTCTCAGACAAATCCTTGAACCAAGAAGATCTTCCATCATCTGAGTCTGGTATTTGCTGGGACATCACTGCTGATAGTTCTGAAGAAATTGCTAGTATACAGAATGCTCCATCTGAATTAGAGCAACCGCAGTCTCAAATGGTAACTGAAGATAGAAGTCGGTTGTTGGAAAAGGAATATAGGAATGACATTCTGGATGATTTACTTGAGGTATGTTGACCATCCCCCCTCCCTCCCCCCTCTTTTCTAGTTCAGATGATATTGCATAATCTGTCTTATTAAGACCTTTCCTTTCATCTTGTCTGTACTGAATAATAATGTTATTTTAGAAATTCAATTGGTGACTAGTGTTTTTGTTGTACGATGAGGCTGCTTTCTGGATGCACCTTCTTACTGCATAGTGCTGCAATTTATTAATTTATGATAACTGAAACAGGTAAAATCATTTTTGACTCAACGCTTAGGGGAGATCAGGAATGCAGATACATCATCTCTACAGCATCAAGTGCTAGCTGTCTCACCTTTTGTTCTCCAGCAGCACGCTCCTGATAGTTTGGAGAATATGCTTGTAGAGGTTTCTTCAGCAATCTCATTGCTAACTAATCAGAAGACTCTTGACCTTATAATGATCCTTAATTCTAAAAGGTAAGGGATTATGAAGCATCCTGCTCCTTAATGTCTTTCATTACTATTAGTTCAATAAAGTAATGCAAAAATTCTTTCTTAGCCTATTCTTGAAGGCTTGCATACTACACCAGTTTTTCCACCATAAATGCATAATGTTTCTATATTTTCTTTAATTGGTTACTGTTTCTTTCCTCTTCCTAAGGTTTCTGGACAGATTAGTGTCAACCTTAGAAGAGAAAAAGCATCATGAGGTTAAATTACAGGAAGGTTTAGGTGATTTATCTGTTAAGCGTATGGAGCTGCAAAACGCACTGTCATCATCATGGCCAAAGCAAGTAAGTGAAAAAAAAAATCCTTGGTAAAATTGGCTACAGAAAATACAATTTCATCACTTGCTGAGACACTCTGTAAAAGCATTGTTTATCTGATCGATAAAAAAAAGGACAGACCCAGTGCCGGAGGCTCCCACATGAGTGGGGTCTGGGGAAGGGATAAACCGAGACAAGCCTTTCCCCCGCAAAATCTGCGGAGAGGCTGCTTCGAACCCACGACCTGGTGACTCAGTGAGACAGCTCTCACCACTGCACCAGGCCTGCCCTTCTATTGTTTATCTGATCGATGATGATGCAAATATCCTGGCCATTTGGTATTGAACTCAATGCTGCTCAGACACACGACACTCCATTTGCTGGTGGATGATGGAAAAGATCACCTTTGAATTTCCACATTGTTCGCTAACTAATTTCTTATTCCATTTGGCGAAATAGCTCTGCAGTGTGTCCCTGCAAATTCTAACCAAGTATTGTGTCCAGACATCAATTTCAATTATATTCTGTTGCTTTGTTCATCTGCACATATACTTCTACAGTTTTACTGAGTTTAGTAAAAAACACCATGTAGTAGCAATCCATGCGAACTGTGATCTAAACTCAATAAGAGAGCATCATAGTGTGGCAAAGATACGTAGGCTTATGATTCATATTTGCTCTTTGCAAATTGGAGTTATTCGTCCATTATGTGCTAATAGTGAACCAAAACACCAATATGTCTCCTTGGTCCTTGCGCTTTATATAGCCAATAAATCTATTTTAATTTGCTGAAGGTGGAGTGTGTTAAATATTTACCTTTTTCACATATACAGGAGGCAGCAATTACAAAAACAAGGGAACTAAAGAAGCTGTGTGAGTCAACACTATCGTCTGTTTTTGATGGAAGGCCAGTGCATATAATTGGAGAGATCAATACTTTACTGAGCTCAAGTGTTAGTCAATTAGCTGTATGACTGTATTTTTGTTCCTGGACCAAATAAGATTGAGTTTGCAAAATTATTATCTTATGGTATATACTTCAGAATATTTATGATTTCTTGCTCCTGTTGCTTTGCTGCTTGGAAGTGCATATATATGGATTTGAATTAAAGTATCAGATTCATCATATGGACAAGTCATATTATAGCCCTCTCAGGACATAACGAATGCAGTTGAGTGGTGAAGAAAGTAATATATGGTTACCAAAGGCTTCACTTATCAGTGAACAATGATCTAATCAATGTTTCATAGAAGTTGACCGCCTTAGTCAGTCTTGTACTTTTTCCTGATATATAGGGCAGTTGAACAACGTAATTAACCAATTATATGATTCCTTGAAGCCCTGTGCTATCTGTTATGAAATTTGAAAAATCCCCAGTTGCAAGGCTAAACATGCTGATGTTTGCAACATTGGTTTTAATGGTTTCAATGGTTTATGTTCGTCTGTGATATGTATCTGTTTGTGTGTAACATCTAATGTATGCTTCTGTTGCAAAAGGCCATTGTGTGAGTGACATGAGTATGCTTTTAAATCCTAACTATCAGAGTAGCATGACAGACTACAAAGGTTTATGAGATGCATTTTTGTAGTATTATTACTCTAAAAATATCAGCATGCTCAGGGAAATTGCAGTCTGATCATCTTGGCTTTATAAGAATCACTTGTACAACACTAAAACTGGAAGCTGGAGAATACGATAAGATATAGACGCTACATTTGTAATTGTAATGTTGCTCCATAGTACTTTTAACTTGAGCAGTACAAAATTTCAGTTATGAAGGAAATTCTGGAACCATTTGCTGGAACTCTTTGGATATCTTTTCAAACCATCCCTGTAGTCGATGTAATTAATACCAAATCTCACAGTATAACCATCCATCCACTCGAAATTGTCAAATAGTGACCATGCAAAGTACCCTCGTACATTAGTTCCTTCCCTGCCATGTCATAAGAGTACTTTTGATTTTGGTGCATAAACATAAATATTTTTGTGTGTGTAATACATACATTTTCGTGAATCGCGATCGATAATTCAGTTATGCATCTACTACAAATCAAGCACCAGACTTACTTGAGGGCTCTTTGAATATGGAATAGGTGTTGCCGGTAGAATTCTATTCTGGTATTGTCGACTAAGGCTTCTTGAAGTGGTATGTTTACATTGTTAATTTCATCGACACCTGCAGCATAATGAGTAAATTTATCAGCTACTGCTCTGGATTCCTGAGTAAGCCACAGAACAAACTGATATAAAATGTAGTTAGACTGTTGAACCGTTTTCTGTGATGTAGATTGTAGGATTGTTGTATGTCTTCTTGGTGTATAGCAGGAGATCTTCTATTCCTTTTGGATAGATGTACAGCCAAGGAGATCCAGCCTGGATACAAATATTCGTTGTTTTCATGCGAATCTGCAATGACTTTCTAATTTTGTGCTAAATGACTAGATTATCTATAAATAACCCTTAATTATTTATCATCAACCCAGTTACACAACTGTCAAACATGAAGCAAGATAATTTTCCTTTCTGTGGAAGTCATACCTTTGGACCGATAGCTGTCCCGTTTCTTTCAACTGTTGTTACAATACAGGTCCAGAAAAATCTTAGCCCCGTTCGGCTTACCTTAAATCTGGCTTGTTCGGCTTCTTTTTTTCAGCCGAAACAGTGTTTTTCTCTCACAACATTTCACCCAGAACGGTATTTTTCAGCCACTTTTAGCCAAATTTCAGCAAGCCGAACGGGGCCTTAGTCCACCCAAGTAATTTGAATATAGAATAGAAATAACATGATTACATAATTACGTGATTGAAGGCCGGGTCTGGTGCAAGCGGTAGAATCTTACCGCCTATGACCGGAAGGTCCCGGGTTCGAGTCGCGGTCTCCGCGCATTGCACAGGCGAGGGTAAGACTTGCCATTGACACCCTTTTCCAGAACCCGCACAGAGCGGGACCTCTCTGCACTGGGTACGCCTTTTTTTTTTACATAATTACCTTATTGATTAGTTCGCGAATCAGTACTATAGCTTTTGTTTCCATTGTTACTGTGTTTGGTATTCTGAACATATCTTGCTGTATAGTAGTTGAGGCCAATGAAGTCGAATGATCCGTATATGGCCTTTGACTCTTCTTTTGTGAATCTTGGTAATCTATTACCAACTAGTGTTCTCATGCTGAGTGGGTAATCTCCCTTAGTTAGAGGATCCATGAACCTGTTCAAATTATCACCAAATTATGTAAATAGTTTCTTAGAAAAATCTTTCTGATTTTGATTTAGTGGAAACTTCAAGGACGAAACCTGAAGTCTGTCTAGTAAGAACTAAATGAAAACTCACCAGCCATACATAAATTGTAGCGCGCCCTTGGCAGCATCCTTATCTCGCTTGGAATTTGTGTAGGGAATCATCCAGTTGCTGACTAGAGTAATTCCTATGCTGCCTCTTTGCTTCTCCTGCATGATTATTAATTATCACCATTGTAAGTGCAAACTATCAAGCTGCCTAAATATATGGAAATGATTAAATGAGTACTAGTGCAAACTATCATAACAAGCTTGCTGAACCTTGGAATTCTCGTCTATTGTCTGAGACACCTTTGATGTGCTAGTTTTGTTATCAAACATTGAGCAGAACTCTAGAAAATGCCCAGCACTACCATCTATTGTTTACAGGAGCAGATTGTGGCTTTATGGCTTATATATAATATCTACTGTGATGTTCTACTTTTGGAGACCTAATTGTGCAAAGATTTTCAATTAAATGTGACTAGAAGGTTTGTCACATTATTGATATATTCTCTTTGTGCCGGCACGAAAATTCGTCCCGTGCCGAGGGCACACGAACAAGCCGGAAGGGTCCGCTTGATGGAGCTGAAGATCCGCCTAGCTTCAGCGCAGGGATGGTCGATCCTGCGCACTCCTCCCGAGACGTGCCAGTCAATTTAACCCTACAATTGACAAGAAGAGAAAGCTAATCAGTAATTTAAGGCGGAACATGCCTGCCAGACAGTTCCCGAATGTGCGGCTCTGAGAGCCGAAATGGAAGGAGATCGACTAAAGAGTCGATTCCAGCATATTCATCAGAATAAATCAATTGAAGCTCATGGAATTATAGAAGGTAAATCGGTTATCACTCAGGATAAATCTTGTTATTTAGACAAACATTAGTCAATGGCAAAAGAATGTCAACAATGATTAGTTTATGCTAAGCCAATAACTGCAAGCAACCGAATCCTTTTTATATAAAAGAAAGAGCTCATCATCATTTAACCATTTAATAGAGACAAATCTAATGAACATATTAGAACTCATCTATCGCTATGACCAGTGGGGCATGAGGCAGAATCATGCAGGCCGTAGAAACAACAATAGATTCGACGACCCTAACTTATTACTAATATCAGTGGGGCATGAGGCAGAATCATGCAGGCCGTAATACCATACTAAGATCATGGGACTAACACATCTTTCAACCTATCTTTATTTCAATAGTCTCATGACGTGAACCGTTCGTGAAAGCACTCGATATCGGCTAAAACAGCCAATTCAGGACAGTTAAGGTCATGTCCTATCAGGAACAAATCTACCAAGTTACGATCCCCACTCCACGGTGCTAACAGTTGGGTATGAGGCAGAATCACACAGGCTGTGTACTGGCCATGGAACGGTTTTCATCAACCAACAGATCTATTCAAGACAAAACATGCCTTAACCGCACATTATGCGCGATCAAGATTAACATAAAACGGTCGATAAAACATAACTCATCATTTAGAGTATAGATTAGATCAAATTTAGATTAACAAACGATGGGTTGAAAAGGATATAAGGCCGATCTAGATCAATCCCAATCGGACGAAGTGATATTGCTGTAATTAAATAAATAATGGAAGCAATAAGCAATATCGGTAACTTAATGAATCTATCCGAAGGAACGCCACCCTTAGATAGAGCCGATAAGTTGACCTTAATCTAGTTCGAGCAGTGGAGGTCAACCGGATCGATGCAGCCGTACTTGAACTAGACAAGAGTCGATAAGTAGCTTATATTAGAGTCGCAGTGGAGGTCGACCGGATCGATGCAGCCGTACGAACAGAAGTATAAGCCATGACGGTACTTACAGACAAGTAGTGGAGGTCGACCGGATCGATGCAGCCGTACTTGCTGAAGAACTCGCCGAGATCTACTCTACTCCTACTCCTAAGGGGTGGCCGGAGCCGAAAAAAGTAAGTAACTTGTATTTGATTGATTGTGTGTCCTTTACAATAGCCGGGGTCCAATATTTATACTCGGAACCTACGCATGAATCCTACTTAAGCACGACTCATTACAATTTCTTGGCCTAAGAGAAAACATTCCTAATTTAAGATAACTTGGACTCTAATCTTTCCCTTTTTATAGAGTCCAACATGCTTTGTCCCGGCGCCGATCGTAGCCTTTGTCGTTATCTGCTGGCGCCATCTGAAGAAAGCCGATTCCAGCGTTGCATTCGAATCAGCTAATACCGATCTATACTCAATTGATTCCTTGATGACATGATCTTGGGAGCTTTTGAGTTCCTACGATTCTTCTTCCAAATTTTCATGTAAACACATGCCCCCAATTTTGGGATAAAAGTAATTTTATTCCAAAATTATCACGTCTGTATCCCCAATAGGTCCGCTGTCACGGGTAGAGAATCTTGATCTAGGGTCTAGTGTTTGTCGCCGTCTATGTCAGTTCATGAGCCTATGCTTCAAAACTTTTACGAGAGCATCATTGCTTCACGGGCACTCGGATTCATCTTTCCAGGCCGGCTATAAAATGTCTATCCGACCCTGGCGAGAGCAACTCAACAACTCAGCTATGTTTCTCTTCCATATGCTCCCTCGAGTGCTTCTGACTCCGTCAGACCCTCCATGGTCTATCTTTTTGCTATGAAGATCTTGAGCGGTTAGAAGAATTCTTGTGCATAGGGTGATTGTGTTGCTCATCTTAG